CTTGTAATTCTACTTAATCACTGACTGGTACAGCTAACATGAGATAAGTGAAAAGTTCCTATGGTTTAAATGAACTCCTAAGACTATGATCTTTTTTTAAAATCTGGGTATTGGTGGCGTTTTTTTTTTCCTTTTCTTTCCTTCTTAGTCAAGACTTGTAGTGTTGTAAACCTGCCTCACAAAATATGTTGTAATAACTTTTCTTTAAAAAAAAAAACAAACAACCCAGTAAAACAAAACCCAAAAAACCCCAAAAACAAAACAAAGACTAAGCCTTTACACCATCATTTCTAGTGGCACATTTCTTGGCAATTTTATGTACCACTTAAATTTCACCATTGTGGCCCCTTATCACTTCATTTGACATCCCTTTGTGACCCACCCATCTCCTTCATATATGGGCATGTCCATAGACTGACAAAGAAAGTTTACGTTTTTGAATAAAGATGCAAAGTATGCAAAAAAACATTAATACTGATGCAAAAAATAAAAAAGAAAATAAAGAAACAAGGCAGAGGAAGGTTTAAGCTATCCTCGACCTGTTGGAATGGTGGTAACAGAATGGTCTGAGAATGGGATCTGTGGGGAAGGGGAAAAAAACCTGTGGTTCTTAAAAAAAAAAAAAAAATTTAAAATGACATCTTTAAAATCAATCCCTGGTTGTAGACAAGTTCTCCAAAACCAGTACCTGGTACCACTCCAACAAACAAACGGGGGGAGGGGGGGAGGAAAAAGTTCTTCGATTATCTCAACACCTCTGCCCTTTTACTCTGCCGCCTCGGCTTGGGGGGCTTCTGGACTGCACTCGGGCTGGGGCTCCTGTGAGGGGGCTGCGCTGGCTGACGACACTGCGGTGGGCTCCTCGGCCTCCTGCTCTGGGGGCGCGCCCGACCCAGAGGGCGCCTCGCAAGCGCCGGCGCTGGGCGCGGGCTCCTCCGCCTTCTTCTCCTCCGCCTTGCTGGGCTCATCGGCGGCCTTGCTTTCCTCGCCGGTGGGTGGCTTCTCGGGCGCCCCCGCGGCCTCCTCCGCCTTGGTCTCCTGCGGGTCACCGCTGGCCGCCCCTTCCTCGCCCGCGCCAGCCTCCTCGCCCGACGCCGCCAGCTCCCCAGCGGCCGCTCCTCCCTCGGCGGCCGCAGCGCCCGCACCCCCTGCGGCCTCGTCCTTGCCGCCTTCGGTGGAGGTGCCAGCTGCGCCTTCGGCCTCGCCTCCCTCTCCAGCCTCCTTCTTGTTCTTCTTGAAGGAGAAGCCGCTCAGCTTGAAAGATTTCTTGAAGGAAAAGCGCTTCTTTTTTTTTTTCGGGGTCTCGTTGCTGGGCGAGGGCGTGGCCCCATCCTCGGCCTTGGGTGAAGACGTCGAGGAGGCAGCCGACGCGGCTTCCCCCTCCGCGGCGGTGGGCGATCCAGGCTCGGCGGCCTCGCCCTCCGCAGTGGGCTCCTTCTCCGCAGGACCAGCCCCGGCCTCGGCGCCAGCAGCAGCCGCCTCCTCCTTGTCGGCCGCGGCGGGCGACGCTGCCCCGCTAGCGCCCGCGGGCTCCTCCTTTTCGGCGGCTGGGGCGCTACCGTTAGCCTGCAGCTCCTCCTTAGCGCCCGGCTCGGCAGCCGCCGGGGACGCGTCGCCGTTCACCTTCACATGGCCGTTTTCCTGCGGGGCACAGAAAGCAGGAGCGTGATTGACGGGGCCCAGGCGCTGCCATCCCTATCCCCACCCCTGCACAGAGAAGAGGCCTCCTTCCTGCAAGGACTCTATCCGCCAAGGAAGGTGTCCCTTACGGCACAGGGGAGTTGGATGCTCAGATGACAGCTCATAGGACGACGAAATGGAGCATTGCCGTTTGGTGTTTTCCAAGGCAATAGCAGTCGCCCCGACCATTAAATACTTAAAGAACTTAAAAAGGAAACAGAAATCATAGATAAGTCATTCCACCCAGCGCCTTATATGCTCTTTGGAAGAACACACGAAACATCTATAGCCTTTTAGAACACAAGGAGCCAAAGCATAAATTACACATTCCCCCCTTTCTTCCTAAACCCTAAAGTCCTTTGCTAAACACCAAGAACTCCCAGGGGATCACAGCCCTCCAGCCTGGAAGAGCCCGCGCTGCGCGCTCCGAGGCCCGTGCCCTCTCAGGGACGGTAGGGGGCGCTGTGCCTCCACCGTGCGCGGGCGTGCAGGGAGGGGCGGGGCAGCCAGGCCACCCCGCCCTACCCAGCCAGGCCCTGCCCCCCGGACGAGGCGCCCCCCGAGCCCACATCGCTCAGCCCAGCGTCCGTAGACAAAGCTCAGGTGGCTTCCCCGATTCCCATAGGGTTCAAACCAGGCAGGGGGGTAAACCCATTATTTCTGAGGGTTTGACTCTGCTTCCCCACCCACCTTCGCCCGAGATTCCGCGAAGTCCAGGCGCGACCTGGTAGCCCATTTTGCATTTTTAATGGGTTTTAAGGTCTCTTGGCAAAACTCGCCCTTCCCGGTTGGTTAGGGCAGAGAAAGAAATACACAACCTGGGCTTCAGAAAAAGCAGCGTGGTGGGCTCGGAGTATTTGCGAAGGAGCCACCCTTGGCCGGCCTCTTGCACTCATTCAGCCGTGGCCACCCGGGCAGGGTCTGGGCAGCGCCGGGGCAGCCCCTCGCGGGTGGTCGAGGCGCCATGCACACGTACAATCATGACCGCAACACACACGAACTGCATTTTCTCAACCATCTGGAGAGCTGCTTTTACAGAGCCACTGGGTCTTCCCAAACCAAGAATAGCATTTTAAGTCAGATGAGTGTGTAATTCAGACAACTACGAATAAAGATCTAGGGCACTGGGAAAGCCTCATGCAAAGGTACTGAAATCTGCCCAGCTCCAGCCAGCCAGCCACCTTTCCAAGAACCCAGGACACACCGCCTCAGCTTACAATAAGACAACCCTTCCCTCTACGCCTTTCTCCACCGCCATCCCCACCGCCTCCTCCCCCTTCTGCCTTTCCTGACCCACACAATCACACCAGATCAGAAAATTTCGAAGGCGACCCAGCCAAGACACACAAGAGGCTCCAAAACACCACTGTACACTCAAACACAAATGCAGCCTGCAAGGGGCGGAGGGTACCTAGCTAGTCACGTTCAGCTAAGCTCTAAACCACGCCATTTTAGTCGAATTTATCACTCTTCCTCTCCCCTACTCAAATATTCACCGGGATTCTCCCGGAAGCATCCCTACGGGGTCTCCAGGACACTCTCTTACGATAAATTGACAATTTAAGCTATTGCTATCCATTCAACTTTCAGACTGGGAATTCAGCCACGCTCCTCTCCACCGAATGCACTTCGGAAGATCGAGGACAGAGGAAGCGTCGAGTGTAAAGAAAGATACCAAAGAAAGAGCTATAACCACAGGTAGAATTTACCTGCCCGTTCGCTTTGGAAGGCGATGAGGCCACAGCCGCCTCCCCGGCCCTTTCCGCGGCGGCTTCTCCTTTCGCAGCAGTCTTGGAGAATTGGGCACCCATGCTGGCTTCTTCAACAAAGAAACTCAACAGATCCAAAGGGGGAAACAAAGAGCCTCGGGTTTGTGTAACGACGGGGCGAGCGGCAGCAGCGGCAGCGGCGGCAGCAGCGGCAGCACACACACCGGAGGGAGGGGGGAGTGGGGGTGGTGAAGAGGACAGAACAGAACCGATTAAATACACTCCGGATAAAAAAATTTCAGTCGAAGAGATCAAAAAGCAGCAGCGCTGGAGGGAGGGAAAAAAGATGGAAAAAGTCGAACCAAGAAAAAGAGCCCAAATGTAGTTTAAAAAAAAAGTAATAAAAAAAATCCCAGATTTGTAGCCGCACTGTAGACAAGAGGAAAATGGAGAAATCTCCCTGGTTGCTAATAAGATGCGGAGTCCAACGCCCAAGTGCACAGATGAATGGGCTCGCGGGCGCTGACGCGGCCCCCGCGCGCGTTGGCCAATCCGCGCGCCGCACACAAAGCAGGGGGCGGGGTCTGGGCGCCTGGCGAACAATGGAGCCGCGCTTTGCAAAACGATTTGAAAATCAGCTTCTGACCGAGAATTAACGTCCTCCAAATAAATAAATCAATTAAAAAATACATGCCTCTCGCCTCCCTCTGCTTGGAAATAATAATGCATCCCCTGACTGACTTGCTTTGTTTGGAATTAATTACACTGGGGGAGTACTTGTGGTTGGGGGCGGAGAAAGCGTTAACTTGACTTGCTGTGACTCTGCTAGGGCTATATCCGTGTGTCTCTCTGCTCTCGCTCCCCTCCCCCATCTTCCCGTGTGTTTATGTGTGCATGTGTGTATATGTGTGCGCGCGCGCAAGTGTTAAAAAACCCACAATGGTTGAGATTTGTGTTTGTGGCGTGTATTCTTTCTCCATGTTCCATACTGATTCCACCAACACCGCATAAGGTTTGTTGTGTTGTTTGTTTTTTTTTTTAAACGGTTGCAACTGTTAAAGCTCCCTAAATTGAAAAGTATTTAAACCACGAAGATCGAATTTCATCAAGAGATCCCGAGTTAGAATTAGGTCTGTAGGCCAGATGTGGAAAACGCAGAGCAAGCTGAAGCCACTTCCCCTCCCCCTCCCACACTGGCATGAAATAAAATATTTTTGAGATTGGCCTGCGGCATTCATCAAATCCTCCTGACTTTTCTTAGCTCATTATTCCCCCCTCCCCCATCAATAGAAAGTGAGGGACATTTGCAAACGATCAAAACGGTTCACATTTTATCCCTGTGTGAAATCATTTCATTTTCCTCATGGTGACACCAGACACAGCCTCGAGTGTACGAATCCATATTTACAGTGGGGATGCAGTTCGCGTCAATATGGATCGTTTTCAGCCTACTGCGAGGATTGGATGGACTCTCTTTTTGCTGAACGTCTGTGAAGGCTGCGCGCACGCGAGTGTGCTCCTGGAAGGGAGGGGGCAGCAGCGGAGAAATTCTAAACAACCAGATCCACGATTAGTTCTAAGAAGAAATCGCTTGCATGTTGAGAGATAGCAAAACGACCCCCGAATGGTCCCACTCTAATCTGGTTTAGAGAAAAAGCTGCTATGCTGACACAGACTCCGCGTATTATACCAAATACCTCGAGCTGCCACTACACCACTTGGTACCGAAGTACCAGACCAGACGTGATTTGTGAAAGACAAGACATTGATTTTAAAGTATTGGGGCGGACGTCAAGGTCTGATAAACGTTTACCACCCACATTTTTGCTCCCAAAGTTTTCCCTCAAGACAAAATAAACCACTTTTTCACGTTTTACATATCGTAAAATCCTGAAATGAACACTCTTTTACTTAGGGAGGTGAGAAGCAATCGAGGGAAAGGTTCCTTTCTTCTGGTGCTGGCTCGGAATTCTCAGTTTTATTTTCTGCTCATTGTAGGGAAATAGGTCACACTCTGAAAAAGACGGTTGGTTCAAGCCAATACTCTTTTGTTCAAGTGTTTCTTTGAAAACCACCAGGCTGAGCAGCGTTACGTGGAGCTTCGTCTTGTAACTGTCCTGTTCCTTCGGATGTATTATTCAATCACGAATTATTTCCCAAGTCATATTCTCCAGAGCCGATGTAAAGATGTTTCCGTAGAATTGCATCTTGCCAACAAAAGTGTTATCACCCTTAAGGGAACCCGTTGGTCTGGCCCCAAAAACCTAACCGCTGCGATAGACTCGAATCCCTAGTGTCAGAGGTGTTCCAAATGAAAAAGACAACTGGGCAGATCCACCATCACCATCCAGACGAATCTCAAAAGCTCATAAGGCAGTCGAACTCCCCCGCTACCCCAACTTCAATCGTGCCTCGCCTCAGCTCTCCCCTCCCCGTTTGGAATTGGAGTGAGTGCTAGCTCGAATAGAGATTTTCTCATAGACGCGTCCCAGCCTTCCATTGGGGGGCTGCCTTTATTGCTCCTTTGTTACCAGGCTGCCGGGTAGCTTTCCCCCCTTTTCTTTCCCGAACGCCTATTTGCCTGATATCGGCTCGTCTCCCTGGCAACCGCCCGGGAAGATTCAGAGCAAGGGGCGGGAGCGGGCGGAGCCGACGCGGGCTGGGGGCTGGGAGATGGGGGTCGAGGGGCGGGTGAGAGACGGGGAGACAGACAGCGCAGCAGATGGCCGCGCGAGGGGTCGGGGCGCGGGCGGGGCGGGGCGGTGGGCCGGGGGCCGACGTCCAGGGCGCGCGGGAGCCAATCAACTCCTGCGCTGCTCGGTGGCCGAAAACAAGTGTAAACACACAGACTCCCTCCTCGAGAGCGGCCCCTTGTTATAGTGAGGAATATGGTTTTCTTTTTTGGAGAATCTGCGATTGCAGCGTAGATTTGAAAAGCGGACCGTCCCTTGTACTGAGCAGGGGAGGCGGTTCAAGAGGCGCTTTCGGAGGTGAGCGCTCTGCTGGCCTCTCCTCCCACTCTCTTATCGCCAGCCCGGCCAAGGGCTTTTCGGCTTGGGAAGCAACAGATTGGGGCGGGGCAGGGTGCTGGCTGGAAAATAGGTAAGGAAGGGAAGGGGCTTCGAAATGAAAAGCAGCCGCTCTTCCTCAGAAGGACCAGAAATAAAGGCTAGGCAGAGGGGTTGCCAGCAAGGCTATGGAACCGGAAGGAAGTTGCACACTTTTAAGTATATAGCTCTCCGGGAGTTTGATGTTCTCACACCTGTAGTAAGAAGTTTCAGATGAAACACCATAGGTGTTTGGGGAAATATGATTCAAGACCTTAAGAGGCAATGGTAAAAATGTACAACTGGTGTCTGTAACCAACTCCCTAGGAGGAAACAGGAATTTTTTAAAAGTGTACTCATTCTTGACCATGCTCAAATGTCTTTCTGAAATGATCTGTATATTTTTCCTCTGAAAAGTACGTCTTACTTAGGAGACTTAGTCCAAGTTATTTTTTCTTAAAAATATTAGTAACTTTAGAAATCATGCAACATTCTTGAGAACCCACTGTAAGCTAGGCCTGTTTTCATATGACGTAATGAAGTCTTAGTGAGGTCACTTTGAGGTATCCTGGACTCAATGGCTCCTAACAACCACTGCCTCATATGTTGAGGGAGCTCTGGCAGTATAGTGTATTATCTTGGGAGTTGGACGCTAATGCGAAGTCCTCCGCTTTCTATTGGTTGGAATCTACCAGCAGCTCCACGACAGAAATATGGATGATATAATCTATATGATTTTATAGTCTTAGAAACCCAATGTAGGGTCAGCTATGAACTGATTAAAACTTGACAGCAATGAAGGAGACTGTGTGTTAAGTACTTAGAATACATCAGTGAACAATACAGAATGTTTATTAACATTGGAAAAAATATTCATAAATAGGAATGATAGGAAATTTTAGAAGTCTGTGGCAGGGTCGATGGACAGCGCAGGAGAGGGAGACCAAGATGAGATAGACTGATAGAGGAATTGGGGCAATGGGGCTTGGTGTGTCAGAATTAGTGAAACTGGCTCAGGACAGGGAAAGGTTCAGAGCTGCTGTACATATTGCAAGCGACTCAATGACGACAACAATAACATACTGTGACAAGTTTGGAAGCATGAGTGACATCCACTTCCTAAATAATATGCATCCAAAAATGAAAAGGTTTCAGGCCTGTTGTTCATAGGGTCGTTATGAATTGAACTTGACTTGAAGGCAATCAACAACAACAGTATGGCTTTAAGGTATCAAAAAAGCTAGAAAAGGGTAAGAAACAGCAGTGCAGGGGAGGGCTGAATTATAAAGTCAGGAAAGGCCTCACTGACATTGTAAAAAAGAGTAAGGCCTGTTGAGGTATGCCTTGTCAGACCCCCACTAACTCTATAGAATTTAATCAGGTGAGGTCAGACAAGTTCCGTGTAACCACACCTAAGAATTCTAATACCAACTGTCCCTCCCAGGGGTTTTGCTGTTCTACTTCTAGATTTGATAACCCTTATAATGGCTACACAGAACTCACAGGACCCCACTCACAGTACAGGAAGCAATTTTTCAGGCAAGACACTTTCTCAAGCGTACTCTCTGGTCCTGTGACCTTCAGCCTTCAGGCTTTAGGTCAGCGTTACAAAACTCTCTTAGTCTTGCCAATCATGGTGTCTACAGCTCACGTCAGTCCACCAACAAGGCTGTCAGCTCTGACTCTGGTTACAAGGGGTGGCAATCCCTGGTCAGCTCTGTCTCAGGTTGGTCTCTAGTCCACCAGTGCTGCTATTAACTTTGGTGTCTTAATCTGATATGTCACAATTTTGTGTAGGAATCTCTGACCCAACAGTAGTTGGCTACATTCTCTTATTCCTTCTTGATGGTAACAAGATTCATATCTGTTGCCTCTAAACCTTTTCAAGTTAAACCTGGTGGGGTGGCAAAACTGTCCAATCCCTTTGTTGTTATTACGTGGCCCTATGAATAACATATCTGAAACCTGTCCTATGCTGTGCCATTCTCAGAATTTCTGACACATTTGAGCTCTTTGCAGCAGTTACGTTGTCAATCCATCTGCTTGAAGGTCTTCCTTTCTTTCACTAAAACGCCAATTTTCCAAACATTATGTCCTTCTCTGAGGAACAGCCCCTCCTAGAAACATGCCCAAAATATGTGAGACAAAGCTTTATGTTTGCCTCCAAGGAGCACTCTGGCTGAATTTTCTCAAAGACATATTTGTTTGTTCTTTTGTCAGTACTCTTCTCCAACACCACACAACTCACAGACGTAATTTCTTCTGTCGTCTTTATTCATGGTCCAGCTCTCAGATGCATAGTAAGTGATTAGGAAGACCATGGCATGAATCAGTTTCATCTTAGTCCTCAAACTAACATCATTGCTTCTCAGTTATTTAGAGGGCCCTGATAGAGGACTTTCCCACTACAATGTGTCTCCTCACTGCC